AAGCATTTGCTTTTCTATGATGGTATTTCTAATATATGTGTCTGCCTTTTCATTAAGGCAGAGATGTGTCTTCACACAAAACAAATGCTAAAAATTTCAGATTTCTTCTTCTTAGAAGTATGTCTTCCTTGTGATTCACATCAGTAAGGTTTTACAGTAGAAAACAAGCCTTTTATTCCTTGAATTGCCATGGAAAACAGGACATCATATTTGGAGTTTTGAGATGCCATCATCCCCAGACTTTTATAATGCAAAGTATGAGTGAGTCAGCTGCCTCTAGTTTTATGAATTTCTTTGCAGCAGATTGCTTGACTACTTGCATTTTTACATTTCTGAGATGCTTTTGATTCTGATGGTAATTTTACAATCTGCCTTATTATGTGATCTTGAATCATATGTGAGGTAGAAATCTGCTGATGTGTTAAGGTATATGTCCAAATGTATTACAACCTATTATTACTGTAAGAGCAACACAATTTTTGTCATGTTACCTGGCCAATTTGTAGTTCTACATCACTGCATTTTGCCATATTATACTTACTTTACTAGTTCCACCGCTATATTACGTACCCTGATGGTTTTGCAAGTGGTGAGTTCTGTGTGTTGCAGAAGAATGGCTCTAAGTTTATCTCCTTTATGTAACTTTGTATGATGAGCAGCAACTTCCTGCTGGTGTTTCCACAGAATCACAGAATCAACTAGGTTGGAAAAGACCTTTGAGATCATCGAGTACAACCTATGACCAAACATGACCATGTCAACTAGACCATGGCACTAAGTGTCACGTCCAGTATTTTCTTAAACACCTCCAGGGACAGTGACTCCACTACCTCCCTGGAGGTGTGCATTCCAATGTCTGATCACTCCTTCTCTGAAGAACTTCTTTGTAATGACTAATCTAAACCTCTCCTGGTGCAGCTTAAGGCTATGTCCTCTTGTCCTATTGCTGGTTGCCTGGAAGAAGAGACCCTCACTCTGGCTACAACCTGCTTTCAGGCAGTTGTAGAGAGTGTTAAGGTCTCCCCTGAGGCTTCTCTTCTCCAGGCTAAACAATCCCAGCTCCCTCAGCTGATCCTCATAGGACTTGTACACCAGACCCTTCACCAGCCTTGTTGCCCTTCTTTGGACACGCTCCAGCACCTCAACATCCTTCTTAAATTGAGGGGCCCAGAACTGGACACAGGACTCCAGGTGCGGCCTTACCAATGCTGAATACAGGGGAAGAATCACTTCCTTGCTCCTGCTGGCCAGACTATTGCTGATACAGGCCAGGATGCCATTGGCCTTCTTGGCCACCTGGGCACGCTCTGGCTCATATTCAGCTGGCTGTCAAGCAGAACCCCGAGGTCCCTTTCTGCCTGGTTGTTGTCCAGCCACTCTGTCCCCAGCCTGTAGTGCTGCAGGGGTTGTTGTGGCCAAAGTGCAGGACCCAGCACTTGGCCTTGTTGAACCTCATACCGTTGGATTTGGCCCATCTATCCAGCCTGTGCAGATCCCTCTGCAGATCCTCCTGCCTTCCAGCAATCTGACACTCCCCTCCAACTTGGTGTCACTGCAAATTTGCTAATGTAGGCTCAATCTCCTCATCCAGATCATCAGTAAAGGTATTAAACAGGACTGGGCCAAACACTGATCCCAGGGGGATGCCACTAGTGACTGGTCACCAAGTGGATGCAGCCCCGTTCACCAGCACTCTCTGGGCCCAGCCCTCCAGCCAGTTCTTAACCCAGCACAGAGTGCCCCTGTCCAAGCCGTGGGCTGCCAGCTTTTCCAGGAGTGTGCTGTGGGAGACGGTGTCAAAGGCTTTGCTGAAGTCTCTGTAGACTACATCCACAGCCTTCCCTCATTCACCAGGCAGGTTCACCTGGTTATAGTCGGAGATTATGGTCAGGCAGAACCTGCCCTTCTTAAATCCATTCTGGCTGGGTCTGATCTCCTGGCTGTCCTGCATGAGCCATGTGATTGTGCTCAAGATACATCATTAGCAGAGGAGACTTATGATAGAAAAGTTTCAGAAAGGTTGAGTTCACATTTTTGCTCTTGCTCTATCTGTTCAGCACTGTTTCGGCAGGCTTGTCCTGTTCCTTGCACTTTTCTCATCTCCTTTTTTCTAAACTAATTTCTTCATTAGGGTTTTTTCTGTAATTTTAAATTATTTTTACCTCAGAGCAATCCAACATTGACCTTTACAGATTAGCATAGAATTGATGTGAAGGAATTTGTTGTCAAAAGCAGTGCACTTTTCACTGACTGGACAAACAAGATGCAGTTTGGATGAATCTTCTGAACAACTAATGCATAATCTGCAGTTGAGAATCTTAGGTTTGTTTTGTCCTGTATTGTCTGTATTATACTGTAAACTCTGCACTGGTGTGGCCTTACCTTGAATATTGTGTGCAGTTTTGCTCTTAGAGAAAATCCAAAGGAGGGCAACGAAGATGGTGAAGGACTTTGAGGAGAAGCCATATGAGGAGTAGCTGAGGTCATTTGGTCTGTTCAGCCTGGAGAAGAAGAGACTGAGGGGAGACCTCATTGCTATCTACAACTTCCTATGAGGAGAAGAGGAGGGGCAGGCACTGATCTCTTCTGTGTGGTGACCAGTGATGGGACCAGAGGGAATGACCTAAAGTTGAGTCAGGGGAGGTGACTTGGATATTAGAAAAAGGTTCTTCACCCAGAGGGTGGTTGGGCACTGGAACAGGCTTCTCAGGAAAGTAGTCAGAGCACCAAGCCTGACACAGTTCAAGAAGTATTTGGATAATACTGTCAGGCTCTTGGGGATGGTCCTGTGCACGGCCAGGAGTTGGACTCGATGATCCTTGTGGGTCCCTTCCAACTCTGCATATTCTATGATTCTGTGATCTTCCAACCTAAGCTTTCTCCATGATCTTACCCTAATGAACAGTTTGAAAGGCTTAGGTTGTTCTTTCATTGGTGAAGAAATCAAATACTGTATTTTCCAGAGAGCTTGGTACTGCATCATCCATGAGAATATTTTATAACACTTCATTAATTTCAGAAGAGATCTGATTATTTTTTCCTTGCCTTGATTCTCATTCAGTGACAGAAATCACTGACTGATCACACCAGTATAAATGCCTAGGATGCCAACTGAAGATAGTAATGACCATCAGAAAACAGCAGCAAAATTCATCACAAATAATTTCTTCTCTCATTTTGTAAACCCCAACAAAGATTTCCTATTGATTACGTATAAGTTTATTAAAATAAGAGTTTTATCTTTGCTGTTAGGTTCCTAATTACACTCCTGATATCTTTGTCTGGAGTTTCAAACCATTAGTAGAAATTGATAGCGTAATCATCAGCTACATAACATAAATTTGTACAATCACCATGTTCATTAGCTTATCTCAAAGAAAAACTGGAGTGATTCTGTCACTAATTTGACTATATCTGAGCATGCACTTTGACATGGTAAGTATGACCCAGTTTTCTTCAATCATGAATAATGTGTTACATTACTTACTCTTGTCATTCCCTTCTTCCAGGCTCCGAAATGTTACACAGAGTGAATTCTACCATCCACCTTTATTGATAATGGCAAGCTCCTCATACTATCGTAATCTAAGAATGGCTGTACTGGCTGGACCAAAAGTCTACCTAGCCGTGCATCTTGCCTCCGAAGATGGACAATGTAAGCTTCTTTATGCTTAAGGAAATTATTTAACGTAAGTATATATGTTACATATTTAAATATTCTATGAGTTAACACATCTATAATGAAGGAAGCATCACTGAATATGTGCCCTGGCTGGGAATTTATTCTATTACTTCTGTAACGATAAATATGCAATTTTTTTTTCTTTGCTGTGAATGGTACTTTCCCAGAGGAAAAGGGGCCATAACCACAGCCAGGACTCTTTGTTTGCTGTAGACTTTCTCCAAGTGTAACTTGTTTGGCCCTTTGCCATGATGGTCTGGCAATCTGGATTCACAAGTGGCTCTGAGTCAAAAAGCTGTGTAACTTGGAAGGTAAGGATGCCACTGCCTAAAATCAGGGGCTTGCTTAATTTTAATGGCATTTGGTGGTTTTACTACACTCCCAATAAGCTTTCCTAGTTCTCTCATCCCCAAACTCTCCATCACTGTAATAAGTGCTCTGTTTTGCCATTGAAGTTACTGTTTTTCATAGAAAATTACGTGCCTGAACTTGCAGGTACACAACATGATACTCTTCAGTGACTAAATTTGAGAGTTTGCTTTATTTTTCCCCCTCGCTTTAGATCTACAGTAAACCACTATAACCTGGAAAAGATTTCAGGTCACCTGGGAGGCTGAAGCTAAAGAGAAGGTACCTAAGAAATCCAAATTTTATTCTCAAACTCTTCAAACTTGAAGACTAATCAGTGCTGTCAGGCAGTGGGAAATGTATGGGGGTTCTTTAGGAAAGACTCATCTTTGAATCCTCTATCTCAGTGAAGGGAGAGACCGGTTTGGAGCTAAAGAAAACACAAAGTAGGAAGTAAAGTATCACATAAGCCGAGTGGGGCTGAGAGGGGTACCGTGCCAAGCTGTAGAAGTCACGTTGTGAAGCAAGGAAAAGGGATTACCGTGTCAGGTGAGAGCGAATAAGCCCCGTAGCAAAGGCTTGCTGCCATAACCCCGGGCGGACACGCTCATTGGCGTGGGAGTCAGTCACGGTGTGGTGGAAAACGTCTGCAGCCCAGATGACAGAGCCCCCCTGGGCCCGTAGCCGTGGGTACCCAGGCGCTGGCTGGGCGAGGCGGGGCGGGGGAGGCGACGAGGCCCCGGCCCAGGTGGGGAAGCCCCTCGCCGGCTCCGCGGAGCGCGGCCCAGCCCGGTTCCCCCTCCCCGCCCTGCGAGCGCGGCCGGGGCGCAGCGGCCGCCCTGGGCCGGCCTCCTCCCGCCGGCGGAGTCCCCTCCTCCCCGCTGCCTTCGCGGCGGCCGCCGAGCCGCGGGCGGGGGGGCGGTGGCGGGCGGGAGGCTGAGCTGGTCGGGGCCCGGCGGCGCTGCTGCCCATGGGGGAGAGCGGGGTGCCCCCCCAGGTCCAGCTCTTCCTCCATGCCTGCGAGCAAGGCGACTGCGAGACCGCCCGGCGCCTCTTGGGGCTGCCCGGCGGCGGCGGCACCGCCGACCCGGCGGCCCCCTCCTCCTGCGGCCCCGAGGAGGCGGCGGCGGCGGCGGAGCCCCGCGGAGAAGCGTCGGCCCCGCCGACCCCCGCCGTGCCCGTGGACTGCACGGACGAGGCCGGGAACACGGGGCTGCAGTTCGCCGCGGCGGGCGGGCACGAGCAGCTGGTGCGGTTCCTGCTGCGGAAGGGCGCCTCGGTGCAGAGCAGGAACCACTACGGATGGAGCCCCCTCATGCAAGCGGCCAGGTACGGGACGGGGGGAGCGGCACTGGAGCGGGTCTCCGGCCGCTATCCCTCTGCGCCGGAGGGACACCGGCCTAGTCGGCGGCAGCGCCGGGGCGGGGAACCCTCAGCCTCAGCGGCCCTCCCTCCCTTCCCCGCCCCGGGGCTGCAGCGGGCGCTCGACTCCCTTGCCCTCCAAATCCCGGTCCGCAGGCCGGGGGAGGGCGCCCGGGAGCGCCGGGGAGCTCCAGGCGGGTCAGGCGTGTGCGAGTGAGGGCGGGCGCCATGTTGGAGGCTGCGGTCGGTCGTGGCCGGTGTATCCCGGCGTTATCCCGACATTATCCCGGGGGATCCGAGCCGTCACCTGTTGCCGTCCTTGGGGGTGGGTGAGGAGGGGTTGTCTAGTGTAGAGTTGGGTGAGTGTTGCGCTGGGACATTAGGTTTTTATCTTTTGTGGCGATTGAAGCAGTGAGCGCTGTTTCTTTGGTAAAGCCAGCGCAGAATTGCAGTCAGGGGTAACCTGAACGTGAAAACACTGCTCCCCTCTTTCCTTCTGTGACAATAGGATATGCACGTGCCCTTACTTAAATTTTTTTTGGGGTGGGAGGGTGTCTTACCTACTTGTTGAAAAGTGACGTCTGACATAGAACATGCTGAAGGAAACGGGCACAATTAATTTCCCAGTGGCTCGCTGGAGGATATGGAAAATGATTGCCGAGAGTTTTTAATGACAAAACTAGGTGGTTTTCTGCGTCGCTGACGCTGTTCTTCGTGTAACCCACTGCTGGGCAGTGGGAAGTCCCTGAGTTGCCAGTGCTGGTGTTGGTGCTTATCTTTACACGTACAACTATGCCTTGGGCTCACAGGCATGTTTTGCGGAGGTGGAGGACAGTGCTCTCCTATAATAACTGAGTGCTTAACTGAGAGGAGAAATGTTTTTTGTGTTTTGGTGTTTTTTCTTTTTTTTTTGTCCAGTTTCATAGCGTTTGAATACTTGGAAGAAAAGAATCTGTTTCAAAGTCAACATTTCTCTTTTCAATTAATGGCCATAGAAAGTTCCCAAAGAATGAGTCACACAGCTGGTTCCCCAGCAAGAACAAGGAAGACAAGGTTCAACAATTTTGTTATTTTATGAAGATTAAAAAAAAAAAGGATAAAAAGTTGCAGAAACAGTCTTAGATTTTTTTTCCCCCCTTAATGAAAACCATATGCTCATTCTCTAAAAACAATAAAGTCAAATTACTATAACCCTCTCACTGAAATTCCTTGCTGACACTTGAAAAGTATTGTATGTATTATTGAAACCTGTGCAGAAAGCATAAAGTAGAAGAACATGTTTCTTTTTTCTTTTTAATGGATAACCAAAAAGGAAACATAGTGTTTATACCAAGCTAAGTTTCAGACTACATAGGTGTTTAATTTTCTTGCTGTCATTAGTGCTGTTGCACATTGCACAGGAGATAGCATATGTGCATAAAATTAATCATGTGTACAGGAGTTGCAGGCTCTACTGAGGTGATGAATTGAAGGCTACCAGGAGAGACGTTGTGACTGTGCAGGCCCTGGAGGCTTCCTCCTGCAACTGTGTACTTTCTGAAGGGAAATAAAGGACTTTTGGTCTCACCTTTGATTTTAGTGGTTAGTGGCATTATTCAGGATTTCCTCAACTAACATTTGCTCTGCTGCAGTGTACAAAGACTGTACAAAGTGTTGAAGTTGGATTGTGTTACAAGCGCTGCGCAAACAGAGTAATGCATAATGTCTGCAAGAAGAGCATGACGCACACATCTTGTCAAAGTATTATGTTTATTAAAATGTGGGATTCCTCAGCTGAGGAACAGTAAAGGTTTTCCTTTTCCTCGCAGTCACCTAGCTGGTTGGGTGTATGGCTTGCACAGTTGTCTTTTGCTTACTGAGAAACCAGCAGAGCCTCTGATAATCAAGTCATTTCAAAGCTCGGTTACTGATAATACTATTGGCCAAGTTCAGTACTCTGACCAAGTTCTTGCAGATATTCTACACAAGGAAGGTTTAATGATTTCATTCCAACTTTCTTTATTGGAATATACTGGATGTTACACAGGGTTTTGATTTAGCCCAGTGATGCAGCAGTCTGAAATTGTAGCACGAGCCTGACATAGCAGTTGTGCAACAGACAGTCGAGTCATAAGACAAACAACAGCACAGCCATTACCAGTCCCTGTAGGCTCACCATCACAGTGCTGGGTGTTGGGAGGGATGGGTTAAAAATCAGAAGACTGTCCAGGAGGATTGTAAATCTCTCAAGTGACCTTCCAGCTGGGAATGACTCTTGATAAGCCTGTGTGAACAGCAGGCCAGTGATCCTCTAGCACAGACTGCTAACAATGCCTGCGTCTCTGATTGTGTACCTCTGCCTGTACGTTGCTTTGGGGATCCCCAGCTTCACAAGTTAACAAAAATGAATTTACTTTTTGTATTTTAGCTGCAAATTTGTGGTGGTTACAGCTGCCTGTCTCGGTCAACTCACACACTGTGTATCCCCAATTACCAGGGAGGAGTATGTGGCTGGAAGCCGAGCCCAGCTCAAGCGCCTTACTCTCTTCAAAATTCATTTTGTTGATTGCTCAGCTTTGGTGCTCTGTGTTGGGCTGAACTGTGTAGACACTTCCCCCATGCTGGTCTGGCTGACCTGGAAGCAGGATATTTTCCATTGATTGTTTTAGGGAAGGCCATTCACATAGACAGTTGTTCCAGTCTTCTAATAGAGCCATTTCTCTCTCTGATCCCCTTGGTGCTGAGCAAAGTTGAGGTTACATTCACAACAGCTATGGTCACTGGCTGTGTTCGTCCCTGAGCTTAATGGGCACATGCCTGTCTCCTTTCATTGTGGGCGTTAATTGATGGCTCACAACTGGAAAACAGGGGATAATGCAAATATCAAAGACTAGCTATCCAGTTCATAAAATGGCCATTTTTCTTTTTTTATTTAGCACTGATTCTTTGCAGTTTTTACTTGTTCAGTAGTAACGAGGGTACTTAATTAAGATCTCTAGAAACAAATTTGCTTTTATTGTTGAATGTGATACAACCCTAGAAATAAAATGAAGGGGACCTTCTGGTTCATGTTAGTTATGAGTTGGTACTATGCAGCTGAAAATGAGGCTGGCACATTGCTGCTTTAATCAGACCATCCTCTTAAATAAGGGTCTGCTTTATGGGCATGGTCAGTGGTACACGTGGAATGGTTTAGTTTACCAGTTTAGTCAGCTGACAACTTCTCTCCACCAACAGGGTGACCACTGTCATGTTTAGTGATGTGTGTATGATCCCTCAGTGTATTAGTCAACAGGCCAGTTAGATGACAAAAGTTTTCCGAGTTTAGAGTATGTTGGTTTTGGCCATCCAAGGTGTTAATTCTCCTCCCTGACTCTTTTCTCTCAAGGTTTGGACATCTAAGCGTGGCTCACATCTTGCTGGAGAATGGTGCTGATCTCAATGCACAGAATAAGTTAGGAGCCAGTGTCCTCACAATGGCCTCCAGAGGTGGCCACGTCAGCATGGTGAAGTTGTTGCTGGAATCTGGAGCTTTTGTAGACAATTACGACCATTTCAGCACAAACGTACTTAACAGCAGCAGAGATGACCTTCCCGATATCACTCCACTGATGGCAGCTGCTCAGCATGGACATGAGGCAGTGGTACATCTGTTACTGGACTGGGGAGCTGATTGTAATTACACTGTGAAGACGATGGGCTGGAGTCCTTTAATGCTGGCAGCCGTTAGCGGAAAGGTGAGCTTGGCACAGCAGCTCATGGAGAAAGGTGCCAATCCTGATCACCTGAATGTACTACATAAAACACCTTTTGAAATCTCTGTTGGCTTCAAACACAAAGACATGAAGGACTACCTGGAATCTCTCACAACGATCAGACCTCAGGCAGGTATGGAGTGTTATATTTTTGTTTCACTTTCTTGCAGTTTTGACTGTGTATTTAGGAATTGAAGGTCTTATTTGGTATTTACATGATGTTCTTTGTAACTAGACTATTTTGAAAAGGTTGGAGTAGGTACACCTACTTCAGGTGAGGTACGAGTGCCCAATGTCAACAGATTTTTTTTTTTCCGCCTTAGCAGGGTGAGATTACTGTCCTGCAATAAGACTCATGTGAAACATTATACAATGTTTTAATGTTTTAGATACCTTTTACTTTTAAAGCACGTGATCCAGATACTCATTTAGGAGGAAAATTACAAAGGCCTGTTTGAAATGACACAAAGAAGTAACATAAAAACCAGAATAGGATATCAAAGGAATGATATTGCAGGCTCAAAGAAAACCTAAAAGATAGGAAATCTAGTAAACCTGACATGTCAGGAAAGACTGAAGAGTTCAGTCTGTCTAGTTTCATGATGAAGTGATTAAGAAGTGAGGTTAATAAAGTGTTCATGTTAAGGACGGAAAGTAAATAGTTGAGGACCTTTTCATATGGTTGCCAAAGAAAAAAACTGTGAGTTTAAAGTTAGAGGAATTTAAATGGGAAATAAGATACTACGGTGAAGCTTAGACCTAATGACTAGAGGTGTGCAATCTCTTAACAGTTGCAATCAAGGTTAAACACCTCTCTAAAACTTGTTCTTGGGTTGTCTTCATTGGGTGTTGCATACAAGGCCTGTGACACACAGAGAACCAGATGAGGTTAACTTAATGTTTTCTTCTACTGCTCTGAATATGAAACCTCCTCAAAGTCCTTTGAAAGTGGACCGTGTATTCTGAGAAAACTAGTGAATGTGGATGAATTGCAGGTTGGCATGTCCCCTACTTCTCTGATCCTTGGAGGAGAGGGGAATACTTATTTAATCAGTTTGGTTTGAACATTGTGCAGGACATTTGAACATCAATAAGTCATTTCAGGGACCGAGACCTTATTCTGTGTGTGGCTGTTTTGGGGACACTTTTCAAGATACTTATGCTTTGTGGTGCAGACCAGTGCTGGGAGGTGCTTGGCAAGAGAGTTTGGAAGAGCTGTGTCTGGATTTTCCAGCTTTAGAGTGCTTGCTATGAAATCAAAGGATGTATCTAGCTCTAGAAAGATTCTTTTGCAGGTACTACCACCCATCCAGCCATGGTGGCAGAAACTCTTCAGGCTAGGATACTCCACATTAAACTCTATGCCATCTGTGATACCCAAATAGGCTTACTTGAATCTTACCTATTTATATTGCACTGCCATGAAGACATGTCCACAAGCCCCAGAACTGTTCATTTTTATTTACATTTGGTGCCATTCCTGCAGGTCAAGCTTCCTTTGTATTTGAAGAAGTAAGGACAAAAGTCAGACATTTGTTTCTGCTTCAGGGAAGGTTTTAACTCTGTCAGGTGTTGACTCCTAAGTTAAGCTGGAGCTCTAGGGCTTTCATACAGCCACGCTGCCAGGCGGAGCTGGTTGACTGGAAATGTTTGCTCATGACCAGTCTCTTGAGGAATAGACATGGATATGCATGTATATACACATATATGTACAGGATGTATACGCAGACAGAGTTGGGTTGATGAATCTTGAAAAACCTTCTGTGGTCATGCACCTTAAAGTACTGAAGAAGGCTGTTAAAGCGAGGACAGTGGAATGGCAGAGGAATGATCCTTCACTCAAAATACCATAATTTGTAATAATTACAGTTCTTATTATGGGAATGGTAATCTGGGAATGGAAGGATATCTACTAATGCACAAATAACAAGTAGGTAAACTGTCACTGTTATTTTTGTGACCTTCACAAATTAACCCAGCGATACTCAAGAGGAATGAAACTGGGACAGCTTCTAAAACTCCTTTTGAGTCACCTTGCAAAATAATCCTGTACTGTTTGAGTGTTCACTATTGTACAGAGGATTACACCTGACCGCAGAACCATACTGTGGTTCTTTAATGGATACTTTAGTCTTTCAGACAGGAAACACTAGAGTTACCAAATACAATTTCCCGATGGAGAATGGAATTTGAAAAGTCTGTGCTGGTGCTTTATTATGGTTTGTAGCTTTAGCTCTGCAAAGAGAACCAGACAGGTGAGTTACACTTCCCAAAGGGAATAAAGAAGTCATCAATGGTTTCTTTGTATTATTAAATGTATGTCTAAACATATGTTTTATAGTACTTTTATGTAATTTTTAATAGTTTTTGCTATTAAAAATTTACTAGAAATTTTTGCTTTTTTCTCAATTGCTAATACAAATATTTCTATTTCTTACAGATACAGAAAAGAGGCAACCTGATGTCTTTCATGCTCTGAAACTGGGTAAGTACTGAACAATTCTTCCACCATGTCTAATTGTTGTAACTTCAGAGCAATTTGTTTGCTCTGAATGTTTGTTTGCTAACATGGAAAACAGATTCCTGTTTCTTCTCTTCAGGTGTAAGCTACCAAGATATCTTCCTGGGAAAGCCTCAGGTCTGTTAGATTTTTAGAGTTCAGGTTCCCTTCTTGTACCCCTGTGATTATTGAGATTTACAAGTGCTGGTACTGGGTCAGAAAGAGTAGTAGGGGAAAGGCCAAATGAATACTGATCAGCATACTATATGTATTTGGGGTTTTTTTGGCAGCGCTGTTAAAAAAAGCAACTCAGTAGGTTAAGGGGTGTCCAGGCCAGGGTTCAAAATAAATTCCGGAGTCTCTGTAGGTTCCAGGGTTTCTGTTTAACAAAGTCTGTGATGTGGGTTTGTATTAAAAAAACCACCTGCTGCCTTTTACCAAATTGGGACACAAAAAATTAGTTCTGTGCTTTTGTGTCATTCCCATTCCAACAAATCAACTGTGTGTTGTGAGTGGGTGTTAGTTCTAGTGAGTGTGCTCGAGAGCCTTCAGGGTTTGTCTGGAATTCAGACTGATTGTCCAAGAAAAATGTACATACCTGTGATTGAGTTGAAGGCAGCCCATGCCATGAAGCAGTTTACCCTCTGTGTAAAGGTGTAGTGGGTTGGCCCTGGCCAAATGCCAGGTACCCACGGTAGCCACTTTCTCCCCTCTACAGCTGGACAGAGGAGAGGAAAAAAAACAGCTAAGAATTCATGAGTTGACAAAAGAGTTGGGAGGGGTCAGTTGCTGATTATCTTCATGGACAAAACAGACTCCAAGTGGGGATAGTACTTAAATTTTTTACTAACAGGATCAGAGCAAAGGAGTGAGAAGTAAAATAATCTTAAAAACTCCTTCCTCCCACCCCTCCTTCTCTTCATATTCTCTCTCCTCCTCCTCAGCAGTGCAGGGAGGCAGGGAAAGGGGGTTATGATCAGTTGTTGTTTCTGATGCTGCTCAGGGAGAGGAGTCCTTCCCCTGCTCCCATGAGGTCCCTCCCACGGGAGACAGTCCTTGATGGACCTCTCTGGCATGAGTCCATCCCTCAGGCAGCAGTTCTTCCCAAACTGCTGTCCCGTGGGTCACTCCTCCATGGGGTGCAGTCCTTCACAAAAGAGCTCTACCAACGTGGGTCCCCCCAGGGGCCACAAGTCCTACCTGGGAAAAGCCTGCTCCAGCATGGGCTCCTTTCTCCACAAGCTGCAGGTCTCTGTCTTGGGCCTCCCACAGGCTCACAACCTCCTTCATGCATCCACCTGCTCCAGCATGGGCTCCTCCATGGGCTGCAGGGGGGTCTCTGCACCCCGATGGTCCCCCATGGGCTGCAGGGGCACAGCTGCCCCACCATGGGCTGCCCCATGGGCTGCAGGGCCTCAGCTCCGGTGCCTGGAGCACCTCCTGCCCCTCCTGCACTGACCTTGGTGTCTGCGTTGTTGTTCCCATGTTCTCACTCTGCTCTTCCCTGGCTGGAATTCTCTCTGCAGAATAGCTTTCTGTTCTTAAATACGTTATCATAGAGGTGTTACTGTTGCTCCTGATTGACTTGGCCTTGGCCAGCAGCAGGAAGCCCGTCCTGGAGCCGTCTGGCATTGGCTCCACCAGACAGGGGAAGCTTTTAGCAGCTTCTAATAGAAGCCACCCCTGTAGCACCCCCTGTTACCAAAATACAGCTACAGAAACCCACTACAAGAGGTGAGAATTTTTTCATTTGTATGACAGTTATGATTTGCTTATTCCTACCTCTGTTCCTATGGTGGTACATAGAGTCACAGAGATCTTTTCGTTCATTTAACTTCCCTGCTTTTGCCTGCCATATATCATAAAAAAACTAAGGTAGATGGGTGAGCTTAAGCTCTCTAAGATAACCCTGACTACCTCATGTATTTTTTAAAAGTGCTTGCTCATAATTTAAGTTAAGAAAAATACACAACCTTGTTAAAATATATTCAGTAGCATATTTTGTACTGCTTTTCCTAATCTAAACAGGAGCTCAAGTGACTAACAGCCCTTATACTTGGAAACTGGGACATTAATTTCACTTTTAAAAAACTAGAAAGATGACAAATGATGCATTACTCTTGAGCAGGGAGTAGGGATGTTTTGCATTGGAGATTTGGTTCAAATACTGGAGGCAGAACTTAATCATTCTGAATATTAGGAAGTTGAGCACTGGAATAGATTCATTCCTTGGGAGGTTGTGGAATTCTGTCAGTAGAGGTTTTTTGAGTCAGTGAACTATCTCTGTTAGAGGAACTTAGGGGTTAGCGTGATACAAAGCATTTTTCTACCTGCTTAAGGCAAGGGATGGCCTCCTCTGCCACCTTTTAGAGTGCCTTTGTACCCACTTAGTCTGATTATAAAGTTATTGCTTTTTGTGATTTCAGCTTGTGGAAATGGAACAGGGATCTTGGAGTCATCAGTTTTCATTGCTCAACATCATCTTACCACAATTTAATAGAAATATTCCCAATTTGTGTCTTCACATGTGGGATGCAGTTTGTACAGCTTCCTAGCTTAGTTGTTCATTTCAGAAAATAATTCTTCTAATGGAATTGCACTGTAAGTGTACAGGTAGGGAAAATCAGGAAAATACAGTGCGTCATGCTTATGCCACAATTTTATGAAGGCTGAAAAGATGTACTAGTTAACTAAAAGACCAGAGATCAGTACAGATTTTTAGCTTTAGTTTTGCAGTTGCTCTTTTTTGTTGTACTTAATTTTTTTCTGTTTTAATTCCACTAAATGTAGACCAGTGTCAGCAAATCAAAATACTTAATAATTCAGTGGCTGAGCAGTTCTCTGTTGCTCATATGTTTTATGCTTGTTTTGCAGGAAACTTCCAGCTGGTTAAAGAGATCATTGATGAAGACCCAAGTCAGGTCAATATTACCAATGTTGACGGTGCATCTCCATTAATGATTGCAGCTGTAACTGGACAGCTGGCCCTTGTTCAGCTCCTTGTTGAGAAAAGTGCTGATGTTGATAAACAGGATAATGTTCATGGCTGGACAGCACTGATGCAGGCCACATACCACGGGTAAGATATGTGCTGTCTTTGGGTCTAACAGTAAAGAAGTTTCATTCTTTTTGCATCCCAGTAGAAAAAAACCCTTTTTGATACTGACTCTGAAAGCAGAAGGGTCTTACAAGAAACTGAGAGACTTGTGACCTCAGTTTTCTATGACTCATGCACTGCCCTCAGGTTTTCAGACCTGAATGATGTTTGAACTTCAGAATGAGTGAAACATTTGGGAACTTGAAACTTGCTCAATGAATGCTGGGAACAAAGTGCTCCAGGCAGGCACCAGGAGCTTTGGTGCAGATTTCAGTTTCCATCCTTTGATGTTTTTCAGCATTGTGAAAGATAGTATCACCCAGCCAGGGTTGTAAGTCGACATCAAGCTGTGAAACCTCAAGGCAGTCACCCTTCCATGTACCATATTTTCCAGTCTTAAACCATTGCTGTGTTTCCCTATTCAGCCTTTAGTTTTCATGGAGTTTTCAGAAATGCAACCAAACTGTCATTTTCTCTAAAGCTCCTTTATAAATGTAGGTAGACACTTAAGAGTCAGAGCCCAGAAATTTGCTTGGGTGGTACTTCATGTGTGACCTCTGTCATACACTTGGCACTGTCTGAATACAGTTTTATTGTGATGAGCAATTACAAGCGTGAGTGTCAGTGTACAGCTGAAGGGTGCGAGAGTCCTGTGTGTAAAGCCACATTTGGGGTGCCCCAGTTTGGCTGGGACACCTCATATGTATAAATAAGTACTTAGCCTTGTAATTCTGTACTTTGCATCTTAGCCTTGTCTCTTGGCATGGACCAGTTGCAAATTTTTGTAACGTTTGGAAATCCTCTACAGAACCTCAGCTAACCCTTCCTGAGGAGCATCAGTGTTGTGGAGGGTCTCAGGCTTGAAGGAGGGAGCAGACAAGTTCTTTTGAGCTGGGGCTCTAAAGGATTGCATCTCTGTGTGCCCTCAAGGTTCAGGACTGGAAGGCAGGATGGACGGATGATACAGTTTTAAGGAAGAGAAGTAATGGGAAGTATGCAGAGGAGCTGTGGTTAGAATAAGCAGATTTTTTATTAGAGGAGAGACAGTCCTCCTCCATTTTGGGTTGATTTTTGTCTAGAGTGAGTTCAGTGGTGAAAACTTCATCTATATGATAAGAAGTGATGCTCTGGAGATACTGAGATCTGTTTGTCAGCCTTCAGTGTTAGAATTTGCAGACACCTATTGCTGCTTGAATACATTTTTGCTCTGCGTTGCTTATGCGTGTCAGAGTTTGTTTTTATACAAAGTCAGTTGCTGCTCAAGAGGAGTTTTGTATTAAATATATTTTTTCATAGCTTTATTGTCTGTTCAGTTATGTTGTAGGCAGAATTGAAATATTGTTTTTAACTCAGGAGGCAAGTGCTGCTTATTGATTCAGGTGCATGAGAGGGGAGGGCTGCTAATGGAACTCAGATGGTGAGTGTCTTTTATGCTCCTTTTAGGAGCTTTTGTTGGAAGGTGTTTGTGTTGGTTGACATTTAGTGCTGATTGTTTTTGCATTTTAAACACCTCAAGGAAGTGATAATGTACTTTCTCAATTATATAATTTATATCTGTAATTAAGTGAAGTGCTGTTTGAAGTTTATAATTATCTTCAGTCAATTTGGCTTTTCTGTGTGCTATTTCTTAATATACAAGTTGTGAATGTGAGGTTGAGTTGAAGTCCTAGTGATGACATATGATGACTACTGAGCTGACCTTTGTATTTTCATCTGCTTTTGTGCCCTAGGCATTAATGACCTTTCATTGGGAGGGTGTTTGGCAACAAATTCTAGTCAGTTCCAAAGGATCAGTTTTAAGAAAGTGGCTATTCAGATTAGGTTTTTAAGGCTGACTTTCTGCATGTCGATTACTGTGATTTGCAGTGAGTAAACAGCGACTGACAAGGGAATCATGGGAGCTTCTGAAGAGCTTGTGAATAAATTTTACACTAGATTAGTTGCAGAAAAAGTAAAACATCTCTAATTGAGGCGCAAAGTTATAAAAGGTTTAAAATGGAATATTGGGGGTTTCTATTTTATTTATTTTTTAAGTGATCGACACCTTTTTTTTTTTTCCCTTAAAGAAACAAAAACGTTGTGAAGTATTTATTAAATCAAGGAGCAGACGTCAATCTTCGTGCAAAAAATGGATACACAGCTTTTGACCTCATAATGCTGCTGAATGATCCAGGTATACTATTTCAGAAGGTTCTGGGGAAATGTACAACATAAACAAACAAACTTCCAATCTAGAAAATACGTTCAAGTTGCTAGGAAGTATCCTCTGATGTCCAGGCTGGACAGGACTGAGAATGAACGTTGCCTGAAAATGGTGAGGTTTGAGTTAATTGGTTAGATGAGTGTATACATTTATGGAATAACAGATTTTGTGCATTCCTCCTGACTTTGTTTTTGAAGATGCTTAAAAAAATTGTGATGTTTGTGTCACAAGAACCAGTTCAGTGGCATTTTTGGGGGCACAGGTGTTCTATGGTGTCATTAGCGCTGAGCTGTGAACTGGAGTTAGAAATTTCCCTTTGGTAAGGAGCAGCGAAGGGACAGGGCAAAGAGAACGTAGTCAGAACAAAAGTAGGGAACTCCTGGCTGAACCTCCCACTAGTTCTGTAAAGGCTGAGAATAAATCACACTTCAGGGTTCAGGTTGTTTTTCACTTCTTTAAAGGGAGTGCTTTAGAAAAAGCAGCATGCTTTGGGAAGACTTCAATGAAATACATTTAGTTTTTGTTTTAGTTTGTTTAGCCTATGTAATTTGTTATTGTTAGCCTTGCTTGGTACCTGAATTGATTTATCTGAAGCCAAAACCCACTACTGCTAGTGAAATTAATGTTTCTTTTCTCTGTATTTACACATTATAATGGTTTTGGTCTCTAGCAGGTTCCTTTCCTTGTCAAAAATAGATCATTAATAGTGTGAAATTTTAGGAAATAAATACAGTGAATTATTTTAGAACTAACTTCTGTGACAGAATAGTTTGTCTTGTAACCCTTCCCTTGATCAATTCTGTCTATTCTTCTGAAAATCCTACTTGAGTGCCATATAAAATGCAGATTTACAGAATATTTTTTTTACTTTCCTGTCCTCATGTCATGCTTGTTCTTTTTTCTTCTTCTTACTTTTTTTCTTATTTCTTTTTTTGTCCACCTTTTTTCTTACCATTTCTTTTCAGTCCCTTCATTGTCCAGGCTGAACATCTCCTTTCTCTTTGGGATTTAATTTCGAGCTTCTTTTCTGCAACCTGCACTTGAAGAAAGAATATTCATTTTTCTCTGCTCTCTTCTGTGTCAGGTGAGAAGAGGGAGGATCACAATATTGTTCTTAACTTGTACAAAGTGCGAGAAGAGGCAGTTCACTTGGTCATGCATGACTGATTCTGACTGAATAGTGTGCTTATTTATATTGATAAATCCCTTTAGAGAGGTGATGATAAGACTGCAGCCCCCTGTGTGGGGAGAAGGTGTGGGAAACATAGGTCAAGATGGAGGTTTTGGGGATTCATCTGCTTTGTGTCTGAGTGGAAGATCCATTACTACTTACATGGGATTTGTAGGGAAAGTGTCAGAGACATGATTTAGGAAAGTAAACCAGACCAAACTTTGTCTTGATTTGCTTTCTTTTAGACACAGAGCTTGTAAGGCTACTGGCATCAGCATGCATGCAAGTAGACAAAGATAAGAATAAACTGAACAACAGATCATCTTTGCCTAGTTCCAGAAGCAGGCAATCCTTAAATGTCCCAATGTTGCCAGATGACAAAGGAGGTCTAAAGGTAAATATGTTCACTCTTGATTAATAACACAAATTAAATTAAATTAAAAATTCCTGTAATGTATAAGCGTAGAAAATAATTGCTAAGAAGTATTTTATAATTATATCTAATACATAACTGAGTTTGTTGGGGAGTGTCAAACAGAGATATTAATTTGGTGGGATTTATTCATGACAAACCCATGTCATATGCTGTGTCATATGAGCTGGGATCATGTGTGAAGTTTTTTCAATTATATCCATTCAGGTTAAGCATTTTCGTCAGTAAATTTTCAGATTTTCCTCTCTTGGTGATTGTGCCTTTGACTTTTGCCTGATTTCTGTAGCTTCCTCCATCCTTTTTTGTTGAAGATAAACAGTATTTGTTCAGAGATCATGTTGTCTGTAGTTACTCTAGGGTAATTTTAATCAATCTTGTCTGGTTTTTATTTGTGCAAGCTCATTTAAATACTCCTGCTCTGTAAAGCAACTGGACATGTATTCCTACCTTCCTCCTGTTAATGGTATTCATAATAAAATATCTGATCACAGGTAGGCTGTTTTTGGAGTTTAAAAAAAGAAACGCTTTTCAGTCTCTTCTCTTTCACCACTTTTGTCATTAAGTAGTAGACTTTTTATTTTGTCATGTGTTTCTTTTATTTGTTATTTATGCATAATAGAGGCCCTTGTTCCTTTACCTACTGATTATGCAGTGGATATTCATGATCTTATTATTTACCTCTTTCACATAAGGACTGCTAACTGCTTTGTTTCTCAGCATTTCATAGCCTTGAAAACAAAGTTGTACCTTTTCCATATGCAAAAATTTTATTTCCTTTTTTTTCTTCCTGCTTGTTTTCAGCAAGTTACACTCTCAAAGTCAGTGTTAAAGCAGTGTGAATTATCACATTCAGTTTCTATTTTAGATTAAAGTTTTAGGGCAGAGATTTCCACTTCTGCCCCTTATTCTTTCATTCCTAGTTTTGTTACAAATGTCTAAGGTATTTCTCAAGGGGCAACATAATTTTTCTAGTTCTTCGATACTGTTGCCTTCTCCCACTGCTGCTAGATTTCAGCCTTTTGAGGGACACTGTTTTTAACTATAAATGCATTTTTGTTACTTGACTACTTCAGTCTAATTTAAAGTCTTTTACTCCAACCTCTGTGCCTGTGTGATGCAGTAGGGACATATGGAGAGGCCACAACCTTCTGCAACAGCAGACTAAAAACCCCGAGCTCAAACCATTGTACTGTGAACACCAGAGCACAAGATGAACCTCTCCACTGTAGTTCCTTTCTTGCCAGAGATCAGCAGGGTTTTTTTGTCTGGTAACATGGTGACTCTACTTTGTCTGGGGTTAGTTTGTGGTGCGAGCACATGTTAAAGAAGCAGAAGCACCGTGAGGAAGAGTAACAGAGATGATGATAGGCAGTCAGAAGTGATCTTTCTTACGTAAGCAAACCAACTTCAGTGAACGAAACCAAACCATGTTGTGCAAGCACTCTCGTTTGTAAATTCATTGTACTCTGGGTTAAACCTAGATGCATTTTTTTCAGTTCCTTTTGGAAGGTGAATAAATGCTGAACTGTGTGGGTTTTATTGCTTTATCAAAGCTCTTTGTCTCTTGCCTTTTCTCATCAGATCTTTGTTGCTGAAATTAACGTAAATCTTCATTAGTTACGACTCCAAAGAGATTCAGACGTCTGAGAACTCTATCCATTGCTAATGCTCTATGCATATTTAAAATCTTTTTAATTATCTTCTGCTACAGGGATTAATATACAGGGCATAAGTTTACAGTTTACCTTACTTGTACTATATGGGGTTGAGAAGATATATATCAGTGAGCAGCTGAAAAATACTGAAGGAGAGAGCAGAATACATATTGTGAGAAGGGGTGGTTAAGAATAAAGAGTAAAGTAGGAAAGTGTTGTTATCTAGATTGGCCATCACATAAATCTGCCTTGATGAAGTATTGTCACTTTTTTATAACTTTTTAAAAAAGGGTTTCAGAAAGGGAAGAAGAAACTTTACTAAGAAATAATCAGAAGATATTTATAATCTGACTGATTTACCTACAAACCATGTGATTTTTATTGCAGATTGCATAGGTCTTTCATAGTCTAGAGAAATGTCCTGCTAAAGACTTGAAGCATCTTGCATTGCCTGCCTGTAAAAATGTGCAAGTCTGTGAATACTTGAATAAATTTTACTTTGAGCAAAGATAGTCCTTTTGTTTAACAGTTTCCACATATGTGATGCCTGTATGGGTTGAGGTTGTAGGTACAGTAGTCCTAAGGTTTGTGTTGTTTCCTTGCCTTACTCTTTTTCAGTTTATAGTCTTGCCAGTCTGGTAGAGTTTAAATTATTTGTCTAACAGCACTGTATGCATTATGGGTTATTAGTTTGACAGAAATACTTTTTCAGAACTTTTTCAGTTTGCCACTGATTTTGAAAATCTTAAGGAGAAGTTTCATTCATATCAGACAAGCTTCTATGCACACTTCTAAAAGGCAGAAAATAGACATGCCCTTTCATTGATGCCAGAGACTGTAAGAATCAATGGTGAAATTGGAAACCAATGGAAAGATTAAATATTTGCTATGTAGCTGTAAAAATTCCCTATTCAAACTGCTCTAATACTTCTATCTACCTTGGCTTTCCAGATAGTGTGGAAAAATGTTGTAATGCATTTGCCAGTTGACAAATAAGGGAAGAGATAATGATGGTGAAGGATCCTGTTGATAATAGCAAACCACTGTAATGTTACTTTTTAGTTTATCTCAGAAATTCCTTGACAGAATTCTTTTATCACTGCTGTAAGGATTACTTAATTGTACATCTCTTTTCCTCTTTTTTTTTTTCTTTTAGTTGGAACTAAATTGTTGTGTCTTCTTATCAATCTAGTCCTGGTGGAGCAGGATGTCTAATCGATTCCGCAAGCTGAAGTTGACTCAGACATTGCGCCATGGATTTCCTTCCAATCAGTTTGTGCCTTTTCCGGATGAGCCTGAACCATCACTAAATTCTACTATAAAAGCAGTTTCACAGAGTGATACGGATGCCCCTGGAAACCTTGATGCTGCTACAGCTCGGATCACAAATAACAAAGCTAGTGGTAAAGGCTGAGTTGTCTTATGGGAAGTGAGCTCTCCTGGGGTACTTAAGATGATACTATTTCTAATTTATTGAGTTGATTCTTATTTAGCTTAATATAAATGGAAAGACATGCAACATATTTGTAGTATATAGAAAGAGATGTTTGTACTCCTGACCGTTGATCATGCTGAACACTGAGCGCAGCATCATTTAAGCCGGAAAATGCTGATATAACCATGTTACTGTTCTTTAGCAAGCACCATTAATTTGGAGAGTCACTGAGAAGTGTTAGTATCTTTGATAAACTAATTTATATAGTGAAAACAAATTTATTTAAACAAATAAATAAAGAATTCTGAGGAGAGAAAGTGAAAAAGCCCACATTGTAAAGCACATTTGCTGAAATTTTACAGCTCTTCATGAAACTCCCTCACCCCTGGCTTGTGATGCAAAGTAAGATTATTGGCATAACTTTAGGTGCGTGACAGTGTCACTGGAAATCTTTGTTCTGTGTGCTTATTGAGGGTAAAGCTGTGGACTGTTTGAGAACAATGCACTATCCTTGGGGACAAAAGTAGGAGCATGTAAACAATAAAACATCATTTATGTATTTTTCAGGTGCAAACACTGCAAAAGGAGGAAAGGATGATGAATTATTGACAACCATGGTATGTTGCAGTGTTTTTGGTGCATCAGCCTCATTCAGAAGGTTGTGCAGCTCCCATCATTTTTACAGGTTTTTACCTCCTGTCCAAGTTGCCTTCAGAAAGAGATCTATCATTTGTTTATAGTCACTAGACAAGAGCTGTCGGGCTTTGATACATCAGCAGTTCTTAGACTGGGAAGTACTACAAGTAGTGTGGTATGGAAGCTGTGCTGACTTTTTTCAAGAGTTACCCATACCTTTGTTTGATCAGCAGTGAATTAGTAAAGTAGATGGAACAGATGATTAGTTGCTGACAAGATGTATGATGTGAGGAACACATGGATGGCACATGGTGCAATGGAAGTGTGAAATTACTAGTAGAGGCAACCACAAAATATTTAGTTCAGGATGTTTGTTTGTGTTATTCTCTTTCTTCGTTTATGCTGTAGCTTTAAATTTCCCTACAGCTTACTCACTGGTGATGTCATTAAATTTGGCTGGTTATTCTTTCTGTCCTTTTTTAAGAAGTTTGAGTAACTTTTGATGTGACTGAACAGATGTAACTGATGGACAGAACTCCAGGGAGCCAGATCAGTTGTGTTGTTTTTAATCTCTTTCTGGAGAACATGTACAGCATGAAGAGGCAATTGTTTACAGTTTGCAGTTATTCTGTCTGGAAATACAGAGAGGACTACATTGTTATTTCTTTGAAAATTAATTTTTAACATTCTTGTTAAAGTCAATTTGAAAAATATTTAGCCCAGTGAAAGAAAGAAGTTTCTGCTACATAATGTACTATATTCATTTTATCAAATGCATAAGCCTAATATTGAGGGATGCAGCAATGTTCATTGGATTCTCTGTTGTACTTCTTCAAAAATACTACTCATGGCTCGTTTCCATTTTATTCTATGTAAAAATGCATGTCTCCATCTCTCTGCTTAACTTAAAATTTTGAAAGTATGTCACCAGCTCCTAGTAATCTCTCTTAAGAAGTGACTTTTTTTTTTCCCTTTCCTTGTTTCTCTCAGTTGAGAAGTAGTGCCCCATTTACCAGGCTGCCCAGTGATAAGCTGAAGGCAGTGATACCACCTTTCTTACCGCCCTCGAGCTTTGAACTTTGGAATTCTGACCGAACACGACTCAGCAAAGATGGAAAAGCTGAACAGATGAGAACTGCCTGGCCGCAGAGAGCAGTCAAGCACGATTTTAACAGCAGTGGGAACTCTGATATAGTAAGCAAACTAAGTATGTCCAAAAATACTGTGTTGTGTCCAGGCCATGCTGACTGGTGAGCCACACTGTTTCTGATTAGAAATTACTTTTAAACCACTGTCTCAGTAATAGCTTGTCCTTTTAAGCAGTGCTGTTTAGGAAGAATGCACATCTCCAGGGAAAGAACATAATGGAACAAAAGTTTTGTATGAAATGAAACAGCTTTTTTTTTTTTTCTTAGTTTTTTTTTTTTTTTTCTGGTAATCAGAATAAAGTAGAACCCTAACAAAATTTACTGCAAACTGCCAAAGTGGCTACTGGTTCCCCCCATGTCTTTTAGTAGCCAAAGTAGGTACAGGTACTCGAGTGTGGTCGAAATTGCTCTGATTTGGAGAAGATCAGGGACAGAAAAAGAGAATTGATGAATTTTTAGGACCTGAGTGGGAGGGAAGTAATAGCAGTAAGACAAATATATAGAGACATAACGTTCTGAAAGATTAGCAATAGTTAAAATTGTAGCAAGCAGTGATCAACTGGGCTTGAAGGCATACAGCCTTAAATTGTGAAGGGAAAAAGTCTGAATTATTTTTATTTTTATAGAAGGAGCTTGCCTGATTCTACAGTGTTTTTAGTGAAAACACAAACCAAAAGAAAAATAGCTGGTTTGTCTTGAGACAAGAAACAAAACAACCTCGACAACCTTTGCTTTCATAGTAGGAGAAAAAAGAGGAAATGCTTACTCTCCTAAATATGGACTGTCTTACTCAAGTGTAGAGGATGGTTTATTTTCGTAGTCCAGAAGTGATTCATGTCAGTTCTAGAAACAGGACACTGAAGACATTTTAGGAGGAATTTTTTTCTGATTCCCTTTTTTTAAGTAGAAGTTAGCTTAATATCAGTAGGGGTGATTTAGGTGGAATAAGGTGGAGTCTTAGAAGGGAATTGACATAACAGGAATGTAAACATCTATCATCCTAAAAAAGATGATTGTAGTAACATAAGTGGATAATTAGCTCACTTAATAAAGTGAGGAGTAGGAGAGGCAGGGGAGGACTACTCATTAGTCCTTCTGTGAGGAAAGAAAGGTTTTGCTAAGGGAATAGGGAAGAGAGAAACATAGTAAGTCAGAGTTGGAAGAAGTGATTTGAGCAACAGGTTAAGAAACATGAAAAAACTAAGCTGCAAAAGCCATTGTGTCAGATGTCTGGCAGTGACCAGTGGTGTAAGAGCAAAAGAAATGAAGGAGGATGTGGCTGAGGATTTGACTAGCATATGACTATATGTAGTGCCTCAGTTAGCAGAAGTCAATAAAAGGATGCAGGTAGCTGTTGAGATTGAACGAAATACAGAAGTGCAACTGGTGGAGATAAAGTTTATGTCACTTCTTGCAGCTTACCTTGTAAGAAACAGAGATATGATGGATTAGAAGTAGGTGGTAGCTGTTTTGTAAGATTGGAGAGACAAACGCAGGATGTGTCTGGAAAGCAGAGATCACATGTGATCATTTTTTTTCCTCCACACTGCTCATAATATTCTGTACAGACCACCTCAGGGGCATCGTATATGCTCATTTTGTGCTGGCCGAAGGTTAAGAAGAATTAGTGGCTTTATGTGGTGTAATTTCTTTGGTTGAGTATATGTATTAAATGTATGTATATTTATATAAGATTAGTATATATTCAGTATATTTGCATATGGAAAATAAGAATATTTCTGATATCCCTTTTGTTCTTCAGTGGAAGTTGCAGGTTGTGGGATCAGTAAAATAGTGGTTGAAGTTTGATCTTTATTGTGCTCAGTCGAGAAAGAAAATTATTTTTCATTTTGTTTTCCAGACATCTGTTAGCAAAGGTACTAGACCAGTCAAATTACCAACATTTGCAAGAAGACCAGCATCTCCTTCGAATTCCAACAACTTCAATCATTCTCCTCATTCTTCTGGTGGATCCAATAACATTGCAGGAATTAACAGGCATGGAGGAGAACTGCATAACAGATCAGGTACCATTTTTAGTAAGAAAGTAATTTGTATCTGGTTCAGCTAAAAAGTTACTGTTTGTGATGATGGTAGAAGACAAACCTTTCCTGAGGTCTCCTACTGCTAGAGAGCAAAACTTGAGTTAAAAAAACTTCTATGAATTTTGTTGAACCGGGATTGGACTTTGAACACATACATAAGGGAAGAAAAGCCCATCATCTGTTACAGAAGAATCTGTTTTCTGAGCCCCTGTCTCTGAAAAACATACAGATTTTATTGGGTCCACCCATGATGGATCAGGTGGATCCTGGTTCATCACAACATGCATTTCATAGCACTGACTCTTACCCATGCAGCTTACTTGTTGTTTAAATTAAAAATCAGTTTTCAATCAAAAACAGAGCTGCAAGCACTGTACCTGGCAGCTCTTGACAGTATGGTGAAATGGCTCAAAAAACCTGTATCAAGAGGATGAAAATCAGCTCTGTGTGTATATAGACAGGACTGGCTTCCCTCTTCTGCAGTTGATTTTTTGTTCCTTTTTCTGAAAGCTGCTGGACAGATCTGAACTTTACAATTCTCTCATGCTTCATCCAGTCAGTTTTTAAACAAAAGTGAGTGGTGGTAGAGATGGGAGAATTGAGAGTTAACAAGTATTTCAAAATTCTGATTTCCTTGACTGGTTTTACTATATTTTTTGTTTTAGGTGGCAGTGCAGATAATGTTTTGTCTCAGATTGCGGCCCAAAGAAGAAAAGCAGCAGGCTTACCTGAGCAGAAACCCAGCCAACAGCACAGTCCAGTCCAGTCAACTACTTCATCCACTCTGTCTGATTTGCAGTGTGCTCAGATTGTTGGCAATGGACATGTAAAGGTATGGAGAAATATAAATTTTTGTACTTCCAAAAATGGCTAATTTTAATGGGTCATATCTCAGTCATGGATGGCTGATGTATAACATTGCACAGCCTAAAGTGAATGAACACCTGTTACAGTAGTAGAAACTTTACAGCTCCACAAGCCTTACTATTAATTACAGGCCTATGGAAGATCAAACCTAACAATAAAACATGATTTTGATTTATTATTAAGGTAATTCTGTTTTAAAATCCAGTAAATGTAATACTTGATCTTAGAGCAGATCTGCACTGTTAGTTTGGTTTCTCATTATTTCTTTTTATGGCCCAGATCCAGTGTTTTGTGTTAGTTATTCCTGGACTTTACTCTGAAGTGACATAGCGAGTTTTCCTTCAAAGGCTCAACGTGAATGCAGAACATGAAGTGACAGATAGATTGAGGAATTTAGGAGATGAGGTACAGGGACTTGTTTTGGAAAAGACCAATATACATACATATATATTCTTATTCCTCATTTTAACTCATGTATTTTCCTGTTTTCCATGCTTCCAAATGTGTTAAATATGTACAAAACTTAATAATTTTGAATCATTTGACTTATGTTAGGTAATAAGTTTAAGGGTTGACTGGAAACTTACATTCCAGTGCTGCAAATTGTTAAATGCACCCAAAACTTAGTTTTGCTTACTGCATATTTCTGGTTAATCCAGCATGAAATGCTACTTTAAATGAGCATCTGATATGCTTTGAAAAGCTTTAATTGAGACTTTATTTAGTTAAGTCTCTGAATGAAAATCCCTGTTTTCAGAGTCAAAGTTTGTTTCTATTATTAAACTGTTCTTATCTCAACCTACAATTTTTATTTTTGATTTTCCTCCTCATTGTACTGGAGGGGGGGAGGTGAGCAAGCCACATAGTTGCCAGATGGACTCAAACCAGGACAGTGCTTTTAGGAAAAGAATAATTGTAGTGCTTGTGTGTGGTATTGCTTTACAAGAAATAATTTCCATATTATAAAATTAAAGCCTTATTAAATGTATTTTTCTTGATGAATTTGAGGAGACAGACTTTCATCTGAGATAAATCACTATTGCTCCAATTATTTCAATATGCATCAAACAGAAACTTCTAGTTATGACTGCATGCTCTGCAGAAATGATATGCAACTTAAGTAATAATGAAGCATCATATATAGGTAAACACTTTTTTGTTTTGTTTTTTTTTAACTGAAATGATTGTATCATTAACTACAGCCAAAACTGGAGATGAACAAAAGACCTCCATCTGGGACTTCATCTACGTCTAAAAGCACATCACCAACTCTCACACCTTCCCCATCACCTTCCCCATCTCCTAAGGTTCAAAACGCAGAGTCTTCTCTCTCTTCTCACAGACAGGCCAAAAGCAACGGTTCCAGCAGTGGTACTATTACAGAAGATGGTGAGTAGGTCACTGTAGTTATAGGAGATTCATTCACCGAGAGCACTGACTGCTTAAAGCTGTAACTGTACTGAATTAGCGTGTATCTGCATGAGAATGAGAGCTTTTTTCTTTCTAGAAGATAAATTATGGTGTTTCTTACAGTGAGTTTGGCATTCCGCAGTAACTACCTTTTTCTCTCCCAAAACCTCTGATCCCTTCTGTGGTACCATCTCAAAGCTCTCATGTAGGTAGACCACTCTTACGTGGCCTCCTTCATTTGCCCCTTCATGGCTTAAATCCTGGTTTTCACCCTTAGTTAGGGGTAGAAAATGCACTTTCTCCATATTAGAAATTGTTATTTTTTTAAGTAAGTGCAGTAAAACACATCACTTCAGAAATACATTTTTGATCCATAGCAAGTCATAGCTACATGCAGTTGATTTTTAAGAGCTGTAGCACATTTATTTTTCTAAATGGCAAAAATAGCTGTATTTCAACCTATTTTTAACTTAAGGTCATATGAAAGAATAATAATGTTATTACTTTTCCAGTATGGTTACTACCTATTAAGTTAAACTTTTAGGTCTGCATTACAATACTTTTTAAAATAAAGTCATGTTACTGCATTGGAAACAGGATATCAATAACTTCATTTTCTTCTGTAAATATCTCAAAAATGTGAAAAAAATTACTTGACTCAATCTTTAAATAAGAAATGCAGGCACCTTATCAGGTTTCTGCAAGAGGCACTTTGTACTATTTTTGGTTTTTCTGATGTTGTCTGTATTGATTTTGGTTTGTTTTAATTTATGCTGACTTTGTCCATGGACACTGTACTTCCATTTGACACTAAAGAGAGGTGATGCTTGACCCTCTTTCTGTCCTCTTCTCATGGCTTAACTGTGACATATTGTACTGACTGCTGGAGAAAATCCTTTCACGTTTAGTTAGTTTATAATGATGGCTTGATAACATAAGAATTGTCAATTTAGAAATATATAAAAGGAAGACAATTCACTGTTGGATAATAAGGGGAATTCCCCAAGCTATTAGCTGTTCTTATGTCACCCAGTGAAGCTGGCTTTGTGAGTGTCCCACTAACGCCGTGATACAGTGAGTTCCTTGTGTAGCAGAGGAAATGTTGTCAGAAGCCTGAGTAGCTCTGGATTCATTGTGCTTATAAGCTTTTGTAGTTAAGTGGTCATTTAATTCAAGGGCTTCTCTTACTGTGATTTGATTAAGTAGCAACAGTACAAATGCTGATATGCCAAACAGTAATCAGAAGAGTGAGTACAGAAGGCCTGCAATGTTAACTTTGCTTTTCTTTCAAGTCAAATTAATTAGAAAATTGATTTGCATTGAATATTACTATGAAGGAACAGTAGGCAGCAGGGTTCAGAGGTTTGCTTGGTTTCTCTTTAGGCAACCACTTGGTGGACCATCAACAGCTTGTCCCTGTTCTGAGAAGCAGTGATGTGGAGAATCATGAAAGACGAAACCATGTGAGAGTAAAAGGAGGCTCTGAAAACTTGGAGAAAGGTAATCTTATCTTATTACTACAGAGTAGTATGAAAGGAGGCGCTAAATGGGAGTAATGTGGCAGAAATAGTAAGAGTTCCAAGAACCTTTGCTTACTCCAGGGATGTAGGTAAGGAGACAAGAGTAGAGCAAATGAGAGTGATAAAGCAAAGGAGAAACAACATGTTATGCAAGAGTTGTAAAACTGAGAGGTCTGGGGATTTGTTCAAACTTGGTGTAATAATACAGCAGCTGGAAGAGGGGAGGATGAAAACATGAAGGTCCTACTGCAGAAAGCATTCCCTGTGCACAAAAGGTGACTTAAGTTATAGTTGTTTATGACAAAGAGACTCTGAGCTCAGAGATACTCAAAGTTTCTTTCCATATCACAGCCCGTAGTTTAAGCCAACCAGTGTGATGAAAAATGAGAACTAACTAACAACCTAAAAGAAAAAAATGTTGATAATATATCTAACATCTTCTAATGAAGTTTTCTTTCTGTAAGGTGGTATTTTTCATCAAACAGTGACATTTTTAAAGTTGGTTACCTTTTCCTATGGATTAACCTCAGGTTAGTACCTGAGGCTTTTAGCCTGAGACCATGCCAGCTTTTGCAAATCATATTAAACATACCAAGTTAATTGAACTTGAGGTAAAAAAACCAAAACCCTGGCAGAAAATAAGACTCAACTAGAATTTTTCTCTTTAGATTTTTGTGGACTCCTCTGTTTAAAGAAGGAGTCTTCCAGAATAGTACACAGAAGTGTGTCTATCTCAAGATACTTGATGTCTTTTGAAAAGCTTCGAGAAAAAGATTATCTTTCATGTTTCTACCGATGATGAAAGAAAAGGGACAGTCAAAAGAGAAAGAAGTGAAATAAATAAAATCAAAGTACATTTGGGAATGGACTACTGGTGTCTTTAAAGTGAAAGTGAGTTTATATGGTGAATTTAAGTATAGTTTTGTTGTATAATGTAAATTATTCATGTTCTTAATTTTGACTCTGACTTCTTAGTTTAACTGACCACTTTGGTATTTCTGGGAAAACAAAGAGAATTAGTCACTTGTGACATCAAAGCAATAAAAAAAACCCCTTGAGTTGAGAGAGGTAGCATGTAATTAAGAGAGATCATGTCAGGTTATTCTAAAAGCGCACTTATGCTTTTTAACACATTTTAAATGTGTGGGAAGAGTCACTATAAGGTCCTCCAAATTTTAATTTCCTTAGACACTGAGAGGAAAGCCAATATTCAGTGCTCTTAGCCTTGGAAGGTTGCCTGGATGTCAGGCACTTAGGGAGAAGAGGTTCAGATAGACGTGTGTTGTATTAGTGTTCTGAATGAGCAGCTGGGTGGTTCCTTGCTCTACAGTTTGCCTTCCTGGATGATGACATAGAAATATGCTGTTCAGTTCCTTGCCTGCTTGAGGAGTTTTGCTGTCTAACCTACATAATCTGGCTCAACCATCTGGGGCCAAGCCCCTGCATTTTAGGCACTGAGCTGCCTAAATTGCCCTTAGTGGTTTGGTTTTGTAAGGCACTTCTTAATGAGGAAGAAAGGGCAATACAGTGGAAAGATTTTATCCTAGCAATGTAAGGCTAAGCAGAGTTATAGTATATGGAAGTAGGTGAGAACAGAGTAGGCAAACATTTCAATTTTTGAAGGAGAATAAATGTTGTTGTTTTTAAGTGACCTTATATGACTACGTGAAATGGGTAATATTATTTTCAGTAGTTCATAATGCAGAGATCATTAAAATCTTTCGTGATCCATGTAGGGGTTGTTGTTTGTTTTATTTTCTGTTATTACAGATGAGCTGACTGGCATCCTTAAAAAATTGTCTCTTGAGAAATATCAACCTATTTTTGAGGAACAAGAGGTACGTCTTTTTTTAAAGATTTTTTTTTTTTTTTTACTGTTTTAGGAAAAGTAGGGTGCAACGCACATTACATCAGAATTGTGATCCAGAATCTCAGATTTCAAGTTCTACAACCTTTTCCAGTTGCAGAGGACCTTGAAACATGGACCAAGCAATATTCGTGGCATTTTCCAGGATACTGCAAATATCAGAGCTTTTGACACTTTAACCTACAATTTTTATATAGATAGGTGCTTCAGGGTTTTTCTTTTTCTCTCTGTTTTTACACTCTTGTTTTTCTATATATGTCTATATCCAATGTGGCTAAACAGTTTATAGCACATACTGTATCATTCCTGGAGTGACAGCTGGAGCTTCATTTGTAGATGGAGAACAGGAGGATGTGAGTCACCAAGATGAGTGCTTTCTCTTTTTTATCCACTGTGAATAAGCAACAGGAGAATTAAATTGGGGAACGTAGGCATCCTTGTAGGTGAGGCCTGTGGCAGTTGCTGAGGGATGCAATAAAAAGAAATACTGCTGAAAATAAGTAAAATTAATTCATTACAATGTTTAAGACGGCATCAGATGTGAGCAAATATTGTGTGTTTATTTGGTCAAGGCAAAGAGTAGTGAATGGACATGCAATAAATTGACATTGCTGCAGAGTTCAGGATTCAGCACCACAAACACAGACTATTTAGCTGCGTCACAAAACATTGGGTTATTATTGTTCCCTTGCATGATAGGCAAGGGAGCATTGTGTAGAAATTAATATGCTTTATATCAATATGAAATGCTTTAGATGTTTGTTCTTGTCACAGCCTTATGGATGTGGTATTATAATAAAAACTGATATATGAACAAAATATTTTTTTTCTCAGGAGACACTGTAAAAGTAAACACAGTATTCTGAAATTCCAAAAATACTTGGGGGAAGGGGGTAAGAAAAGAAGAGAGCTTATTCAACTAGCTGCTGCTGCAGATAGAGTACATTTTTTGTGGAAAGTTTATATTCTGTATTAATAGAACTTGTCTGAAAAAAATTAAAATCCATTAATATTTTAAATGTACTATCATAATTAGTTGAATGATTAAATACCGATTAAAAAACTTACAAGGGAGTGTTAAAATGTGTACCATTTGCTGCTGGTAATTAATTAAAAATTTTTCTTTGCAAAATATTTACAGTAAGTCAATACAGTTCAAAAATCCCAACAAACCACATATAACCTACAATTATGAATCTTTGCATAGGTAAATTTGTCTTTTTTTTCTTCATATGCAGGTGGATATGGAAGCCTTCCTTACCCTTACTGATGGTGACCTGAAAGAGTTGGGTATTAAAACTGATGGATCAAGGCAGCAAATTTTGGCAGCTATTTCTGAACTGAATGCAGGAAAGGTGCGTTTTGAAGTACTGTACTTAGTAAATTATTTCAAGGCTTGTTTATATTGTTAATTCAACATACATTTTGAAATTCAGTTGCAGATGTTAGTTAGAAAAGCTATTTTTTTTTTTTCAAACAAAGTATTTTTATTTGATTAGTGTGAAAAATATTTTCCTTTGTGCTGCTCCCTGTTGTCTTGCAATCACTCTTTCCTAGTCCAGTGAAGAAGCTACTGGTAAATATGAACAATATTGCAGTTACCAAATACTGATTTCAGCGATACTAAAAAGAATCTCCTGGCTGTGATAGTCTAGCTGGAGAATACAGTGTAAGAGGAAGGGTGTCCCTTGTTTAGCCTAACAGTTTTTGATTCCTCTGTGATTAGGTAAATAGCACTTCTCTAATTTCTTACACTTTTATTGCCTTTGAATTTTTTTATGACAGAAACAAATTTGCTAAGAATGGTATACAGTAAGCAGCATTCTTATTGGAGGGATTTTGTTCTGGAACATGTCTTTGGTTAGGCCTGCTGACACCTCTCAGCTGCTTTTTCAGTTTTGAGGTCCATTCTCCCTCTAATAGTGGAAGCGTGGATAAACAAAACATAGTTTCCCCAGTTTAAGATCAATAGTAACAAGTGATGAGGCTAAAAATTAGGGGAGGTGGATGATGATCCATGCTATGAAGATATGAAGAAAATAATGAAAATGTTTCTATTGCTGTGTGGTAGTTTCAGGAAAAGATTACTATCAGGATTTCTATCTATATATATCTGTGAGGTAAGGATTTGTCATTATTCTGAATAGTATACTGAGCGTGGAAACATGTATTTACACATTTTTTGTGAACTCGTCATAAATTTGCTTTTTAAACAGAAATTTGAGAATTATTTTATTTTATCGTTCTTTTACAGGGTCGAGAGAGACAGATTTTACAAGAAACTATACACAACTTCCACTCTTCCTTTGAGAGTAGTGTTAGTAACACACGACCACCAGGTCATTCCCAATGTAAGTAAAACCTGAAATTAATTGAAAAATGAATCACAAAAGCATGGAATTAATCACAAAATCAATTACGTTGGAAAAGACCTCTGAGACCATCAAGTCCAATCTATGATCCATCACCACCTTGTCAATTAGACCGTGGCACTAAGTGCTACATCCAGTCTTTCCTCAAACACCTCCAGGTCCAGTGAGTCCACCACCTCCCTGGGCAGCCCATTCCAATGTCTAATCACCCTTTCTGTGAAGAAATTCTTCCTAATGTCCAAATGTATGGATACTTCCATTTAATACTGGCTAAAAGACAGAATGTGACAAACAAACCAGTTAACTGGTTTCCTGGTTAATGATTGATATGTGTCCCTGTCTCTTGCTGAGACCGTAGAGAAGATTTCAGCGTAAAAAGGTAGAGGAATCTGTAGGAAGTTCATACACACTTCAGTACTATCTGAAATAAGCATAAGATTTTTGTTATGCATTACTAAGCACAGCAAATGGATGTAAGTTTAGCAAACTAGAGTATACAATATACCCTGTGTAGTGTGTGTGTATATGTATAGCATCAGTGGCAGGTGCATTTCTTTATGATACATAGTTTACTTTTGCATACTCTTTATAGGAGACACTTCTTTAGTGTGATCAAGTAGAATAAATAAATTCAAGATTTACAGTCTAGTATAGTGGCTTAGGTAGCTATGTTCATTACGGTTTTTTGTATGCATGCATTTAGTGCATAGGTAGGATTTTTATGTGATTGACTATATTTGGTTTCTTTGGAATACATCTATACCAACCACCAGTGTTACCTGCTAGCGAAGCTGGAGAAACTGCCTTTCAAAATGTGCTGTCTGTAACCAAAATGTACAGGAAGGTGTTGCTGACTATAACTAATGAATACATTTATCACAGTCCCAGATATAAATGTGGCAAATGTCTGTCCTGCCAGCCACCTAGGCCAAAGGCAGATATTCATCTGTTACTCAAGGTTAAGCAAAAGGGCAAAACCTATTCAGATGTGTACTTCTGTATCCATGTTTTAGGAGAAACAGTGGAAGCCACTGAATGGCCTTGAGAAGTTCACTATGTTAAAAGTGCCTCTTCTTCATTTGCTTATTTTGCTACTTGCGTCCACTCACAAAATAATTTCATTTGTTTAGGGGCTATGTTAAATAATATTTCAGGTACTGTATGCTTTAGGAGAACTTAATAAGGAACAAGTCCCAGTTCTTCAAGTCTCAGTCAGCTGTATATCACTACGTATATGAAAGCAGGTGCTAACTGCAGACCTCCTGGTGTCTTGGGGAAAACTGGGAATTGCTGGGGTAGTTAGAGAATGTGGGCTACTTTCAGTATTCTTTATAGTCTGCTTGTCTGAAAGCCACTTCCAGGTGTCCCTGTATGCCTTGTGCAGCTTACTTCCCATTCTCAGAGTAGTCAGCATGTGTGGGAACTTCTGGATGCCTCTTGATAACATCCCAGACTTGAAGAGCCTCTTCTGTAGGTACCACTAGGTGAGCAGAAGCTGCCATTTGGGATTTGATAATATGGTGCAATGAACTGGAATTACTCAAGAACCGAAGAAGCACAGAGATGTAACGTGTCTCCAAGCAACTTGCTGAGCTTAATCACTGATCTTGAATGTGTCTTGAAGACAGCAAAGGGCAGTAATGGTGGAACAGAGTTGGGGAAAACATCCTTTTGTAAGAATGGAAGCAACAGTTGCCCCTGCTAACCATTTGACAGGATGCTGCAAGGAGGCTGCCATGAGAGATCTAGCTTTTGGGTTTTTGTGTGTGAGAGCTCCGTGATACAGATTTGTCTGTGAAACAGCAAGAGAAGCACTAACAGAGAAGGAAGAGGAAGAGAGCATGTAGATAAAAGAAGTTTCTGCACCAGGTAAGCTGCTTCTTATTGTAAAAAGTAGCAGTGGGACCCTTATGCAGTCTCTGGAACTTAAAGTAATTTCAAGGAATGTGTAATATTTCAGAGCATAAGAGCAGCTGTACCAAGTCAGATCCAAGGTACATACAGTTGTGTTCAACTTTTTCATCCAGTCTCATTCGACACTGATGTGAAGAGCTGCTTGCTTTCATTTACTGTGAACTTGACATGTCCTGACTTCTTTTGCTTCATCTTTTTGGATCAGAAGACACAGTGGGCAATTGTTTCCACTTCGCTGCCTCCATGCCACTGATGATTTTACAAATAACAGTGATACTTTTCCTCATTCATGCTTTTTCTAGATGGAAGACTTCTAGGCTGCTTTATCATTCTCAATACCATAGTTTTTCTGACCTCTTTTTCTTTTCTACTATAATCTTTTCAGACTTAGGAGATACCAGTCTAGCATACAATATTCAAGATGTAGGCATATTACAGATTTACATGACAGAGTGATGTTTGTTTTTCAGTTGTGTTTCTCTACTTTCAGTTCTCTTTGCCTTCCTAGTTATTTCTGGTACTTTGCTTTCTTGGCTGTAACTGAAGACTGAATTGTTATTAATTGGAACTCTGTCTTGTAACCCTGGTGGTCTACAGAGTTTGAGCTCACAGCCTATTGTTTTAAATAACTGTGCATACATCTTTTTTTTTTCCATTTACCTTCATATTACTTCATATTTATCTCCATCAAATGTTGTTTGCCATCTTAATTGTTTGGGCACTGATGTCACATGAAGTCTTTTTGCCAGTCTTCTGTTTGTCTTTCTCTTTATTTACATGGATAACTTAAGAAGGTTTGTCCCTTCAGCCCGTATGACCTTCCAAAATCATATATTGAATATACTGTTCATATCCTGTATATTCATATGCAGATCCTTATGAAATGATAGGGGTGAATTTTGTTACTGGAAAAAATAATTTTTTCCTCCAACCTTCTGTCCTCTGCCTCCCTAACAAATTATTTATCCACCCAGGAAGTTTTCTCTTTGCCCTGTGGGTTACTTACTGTTTTAAGAGCTAACCTTGGACCTTGTGAAATGCCTTGTCAAAATCCAGGCCATTAAACAGACCTCTTTTGTCTACAAGACTTCAAGGAGTTCCAGTAGGTTGGTGAGGCAAGACTTCTCAAATCTGTTTTTGATTTTGCACAGAATTTCAGATCCTTTGTTACAGTTTTTGCTAATCTGCCTGGTATTACTGTCTATTTAAACAATTAGCATCATTTTTATCACATCTTGGTTATGTGGCAATTTAAACAACCACCTGTGCTCTGTACACAGCAGTTCAGCTGCTTAATTCTTGTGCTTCTTTAGGACATCTGGCTTAGAAAATTACTGTTTCTTGCTTTGTGTATTTGTTTCATGTTCTGTTTTACTAGTACCTCAGGTTAAGATATCTTAGACTCCCAGATAAAGAAAGCTTCTGAAATGGGAACCTTCCCAAGTTTTTCCAGGGTGAATACCATTTGTTTTTCTGATGTTGAGGTTACTTCTCTAGCTCATTACGGTCTCATTGATTGACATCATATCATTTGTAACAGGCTGCCTCTTGTGGTATGTTTGAAAAGTAGTATATGAAATTTTTATCATTTTTGCATGGTCCACAATCACTCATTTCTCTACAGCTCTTTCTAGGAGCCTGTCTGGACACCATTAGCAAGAAAGCCACATCATGATTTGCCTTTCTAGAAAGCTAGCTGTAGCTCACAGGATGATGGAAACATCCTGCTCTTCCAGCTGTGTTGGTACCACTGTTTTCCACACTATCCCTGTGATTTCCTCAAGATTTTCAGTCATTTTAAAAGCTTAGTACCTAAACCAGAGTGGCTGTCAGTGTAGCTCTGGTTTTATGAAGTTTCCAGCCTGTAGGGGTGTAAAGAAGAAAGTGAAATACAGTCCGAATATATCCATAAGATTCAGAAATGAAGAAGCAGGGGGGGAAGAAACTTAATCCTCACCTTCCCGAAATGTAGCTTATAATTTTGGGAGGTCTGGAGGCTGATTACCAACACCAAGCCTGCAAATGTTTACAGCTTCCTACACCCTTCCTCATCCCTAGCTCCAGTGTCCTCTTAGCTTTAGTTCTGCCCAAAATGCCACAGTCCACACTGCTCAGGCTTAGTTCCTCCCCTGCTACCCCTGAGTCAGGAGCTGTTGCTGCTCGTCAAATCTGGTAGGAGATTGGAAGGCAGCAGAAAGAGATATGCATCTGGATGGGTGTTTGTGGAATGGAAAAGAGAGCTCCAGTGATTACCTACATTCGCCCTTCTTGGGAAATCAGTAGAAAGAAAATGAGGAGAGGCAAAATAAATAAAAGCAAGATGATCAGAAGTAGAGGACTGATGGTATAACTAATTTCACACAACAGGCTTGTTCAGGAAGTTTTTTTGGCAGTTCAGAATTAGTTGCTGACTTCTTTTAGCTTCTGGTTGAGCATCTCCTGCTGAGATCGTTGCTTCTGAGCTCTTTGTGTTATTTATTACAAGAGCTCATAGAAAAGTTGTTGAGTGTTTGGCAGGTGAGCTGTTTTAAGTTATAATAAAGCTCACAGTTGGGAGAAAGTTTTGTTTGTGCATTAGTTGCTGTGTCATCCGTGGGGCTGGGAGTGAGATGATTCTGTGTTGCAAAAAACAACAGGCTTCAAAATACAATTTGCTTTCTGTCAGAAGGATACTGAGACTGCTTCCTCCCCACCCCGTGCCAGGGGTACCAGGTTAGGCTGTGGAAACTCCACATTCCAGTCCTTTCCTGATCTGCATAAGGCAGATGGCTGCTCTGAGTGCAGTGTAAATAATTCAGTGATTACTGGACTTGTAAGCCATTAGGCTCAGAGGTGCCACAGTATTCTGAACAGGTGAACTCGCAATGGGGAGTGTTGCCTCCATTTCTTTTTTTAAATGAAATGAATCGGTCACTTTCAGAAAATTCTGATAAAAATTGGTTCCTTCCAAGAGTGAATGTTACTGCAAGTTTTGACACTGGTAGTTTTCAAGGAAAAAAATGATGGCTTGGAAAATTACCAATGCATAGTAATCACCTTGTCCTTGGTAAGAGAAACTACTAGGAAGATACTGCTGCTTAATAATCCAGTGAACTGTGTCCAGAAAACACAGAATTAGCTTACTGCTTCACCATTTAGAGCAGATGACCAGCCCATGGAGGCATAAGGCAAAATGACTGCTCTGTGGAACAAAATGGTCCTCCGTTGTCCGGAATCTCAGCTTCAGTGAAACAGTAAGTGGCAGCATAAGGTCCAAATTTCTGAGGAACAGGAGTTGAGAAATTTTATCACCCTAGTAAAAGTTTCTACTTGTAGCTTGAGGTGACCTTTTTTGCTTACATGGTTCTGGTTAAAAAAAAAAAAAAGAAATTGACTTTTTGAATGCTTAATTGCTGGGACTAATTGTTGAGTTTATTTTGTGTGTATGTGTCAAGACTCATGCAGTCATCAACTGAATAACTAAGAGGTTGAACAGATCTGGCAGTGGTCTGCAGGTTAATTGAAAGAAATGACACCAAAGGAGAGAGTGTTGCATCTCAACACAAACTTGCTAAATCAGAAATGAAAAGCGAAAAAAAGTTCATGTGGATTCTAGGGGAAAAAAAAGAAGGAGCAAACCAACTGAAATTATTTCCTCCAGAAGAATACAAATAAAATCCTATATGCTAATTATTAATAGATATATAAGGAAGTGTTATGTGTTAGATCTGTGATAAAGAAATGGAAACATTTCATGGAAGTTCTCTTGCTAAGTCTGTGGCTTGTAACAGAATTTGCCATTTCTGCAAAAATGACATGAAAAATGCAAGAGAGCATCCAAGGTTTATACTCTGAAGGACACAAACCTCATTATGAAAAAAAACTCATTAAGACTGGTTGGAGGTAAAGCTAACTGCTGGTTAGCTCAGTTTACCTTCTAATACCAAGTTTATTGAAATGTTTGAAAGAAAAATGTGAGCCTTGTCACTTGGTACAAGTGTCCAGCTTCTCTCTGCCATCTAAAAATAATGCTTCTAACAGGTGGGAATAAAAGCCAACATCTGACAGGGGCAATGAAAAAAGGCAGGATTTGGATATTGAAAGAATAAGGTGAATATTCTCCAGACAAATGTTAAATGAAGAGTAACTATGCCTACAATGAAAAAAATAATATGATGAAATTCAGTCTATAATTTGTGGAAATTCTGATCTTCTGTTTCTCTTTACATATTATAGTACGTTGCATATTGATAGATACTTGGACATACATATCTGCAGATAGTTGTTTTTATATTTACTTTCTACTTTGGGATTCAGAGTCAAAAAATATCAAATGGAAATTAACCAGAGGAGGACGTTAGGGATTGTAGAGTGGGAAGTAAAAATAGGAGCAAAATCAATGTAGACTTGCAAATAAAAATCATACAGGATTCGGATAGTCACTTGCTGGAAAAGTACACATTAAAAAAAGAGGGATAATGGAAAGATTTGTGGCAGTAGATTACTTTTTCACACATGAATTTGACTTTTAATACCTTCTCCATACAGGAGATAACTTCAGATGGGTACAGTGAATTACAGGGTCAAATTGTTGGATTCTGCTGTAACAATTACATTGGGAAATGTGGGCCTGTTTCCAGTAGTTGTGGAATTCCTCTCTTCTTTAAAGCTGTAAGTCTTGCTGGTGGAAATTTTTCAACCTTTTTTTTTTTTTCTTTCTCTTTTAGCACCTGGCTGCTCTTTAAAACCACAAGAAGCTGTTTCTCCTAAAAGGTAGCAACCAGAGATTTTTTTTCCTCATGTTTAAGTTTGGCATCTGACTGAGTAAATCCAAGTGTACAAATGAAAATTTGTAAAGTTAGTCCTAACTACACCTGTGTACTACTTTCTGCAGTAGAATACAAACCCCACAAACAATCGAAGAAAATCAGGAAGAGATTGCTTTTATAATTCAGCCTAAGTGTTGAATTGTTCAAGGCATCAGTGGTCTGGATTTGAGAAGAACCAAGTCAGAAGAGCAAGAAAAATGAATGATGGTACAAGAAGATGAATGTTTCCATTCTACTCGTGCCCATAGATGAACAACCCATAGGAGACCTACATGGGCACAGTCAAGAAGAACAAAAGCACAGGAAGCATGGAAATCACCACAAATTATGGCAGCTTCTACATGAAGAAGTATATAAACTGAATATGCCTTTGTTGACTGGATACAAATAAAGGAGTCCAAACTGAAACTGCAATGGTTTCATGAGAAGGAATATAAAGGAAGATTCATGCTGCATTCTTCTTTCACCAAAATACACTTTATCTATTCAATATTAGGAGGTTAGAACAACAGTAAAAGTAAATATGAAATACCTTTTTGTAAAAATAGCACTTTATTTGAGGAAATGCATAATCTGTCACCAGTATTTAAACAAAAATAGTGTTAAAGTATTTTATATTGCTGTTTATTTTTTTTTTTTGAGAATAAAACCATTCTACTGATACTGGCTGTGGTTTTTTGAACACTAACACTAGCAAATCCTTAAAATACATTTTTATAACTTGATTTTGTAGCAGTTTTGAAAGGAAAGTTGTAGTAATTAGAAGTAGAAATAGTTTTCTGCTTAATAAATCCAGTTTTTATTGAGCAATTAAAATACAAGTATCAGAAGCTTCTGACACTATATTTATCTTTCTGAAGACTCACAAATAAGTGACTTAATGTGAGTCCAGGAGTACTACAGGTAAAGGCAAGAAGATATTAGAGCTCCAGTGCAAAGGAGTGATCTCAGGTAATTACTTACACATTTCTCCACCCTCCTCACTGTACTGGTTTTAGTGGAGTAAAGCAAAAATAGGGATAGAAGTTGGGTGCAGTGGTAGTGATAACAGCGCCAGTGAAAGCAGTGGTGCCCTGCTGTCCCTCGGGTGCCTGAATGTGTCACCTGATTCTGTGATGGCTTCATTGGCTTGGCCATCTGAGGTACAGCTCCAAGCTGCTGTGTCAGAGCTGACTTTGAATACAATCAGTTTAAATCTCTGGGAGGAAGAGAAGAAGAGATTACAGAGGGGTATTTCAGAAAAAAAGATGGTTATGAGCTGATTAGGGAAATCAGAACCTGTTGGTACCTTGAGGTCCTTGGTGGTCATGCTACTAACATTTCAGGTATAGCCATGTGCAAAATAACTTTTGTTCCATTTTTCTTTTTCAGTGCATGTATGTCACCAAATTTAGAACACTTTTATCAGCATTTAACATGGTATTTTATGTTTCTGGCATGTCTTAGGCTGAAGAAAATCACTCCTTAGGCTGAATTGTACTTCAGGATTAATTTCAGCTCTAGCATAAAAATATGTAATTTTTGCTTTCACAGTTTTCAAGAGCTGCAGCCAAAGATGATAATGACAGGACAGATCTACAGAAATGTGTACAGAGTGCAAACCATATAGCATCAAGCTAATGGCCCTGTCCTTTCCCGAAGAAACCTGGACAATTCTGGTTAAAGCACTTCAAAATGAAGCAGATAAACAATTGCAGCTTCTTATTAAGAGTAGGAAACTGTAACAGTTGCTGCTTTGGAGCCAAAGCCCTACCGTGGCACCTTTGACCTCCTGTCAGTGTAACTGGGAATAGATGATCTGGGATGAGCTGAAACATCTCACTTAAATACTCAGTGTCTGTGGGGCCCTATGGTAGCTCAATTTTCCTGTACAGTTTTGTGCTTTTAATGCAGCAGGTGGCAATCCAGACATCCAGCACCCTCAGCAGAGCATCACCTGAAGCCTACTTATAGGGAAACCTCAGCATGAGAGTGCTTCAGCCATTTAGAGCTTGTGGGTCACATTCTTTGAAAGGAGGACTCACCTGCAGTAGATTGAGGGGTGGATGTTCCATTTTTTTAATTTTGTTTTCAGTAAGACATTGAACAGTTCAGTGTGGAAAACACTTTGCAAGGTGGAGAGAGGCATTCTTTATACAATCTTAAGAGGGTTCAAATTCACGTATGCCACTGCCCAGAAGACTGTCATAACCTCAGGGCTATAAGGCAAGGTAGGGGCACACTTAATTCCTCTGGTTTCTGTCTTACTGTGAAGAAGACAATTCAAAATTCATGGGCTGTGGCCCTGTAAGACAGTGGTCTAGAATAGGGAGGAGTTAGGCTTTAAGCCCTCTAGTTTATAGATTTATTTACCAATTCCTAAGCTGCATAGTGAATGAAGATAAATAGTACTGTAAATTTGGGAATGTTAACCGAAGTGCATCAAAGAACAAGCAGAAAATAGATTCAAATGGAATGCAATACTGTCAGAGGGGACCAACCAGCGTACACATGTAGGCTCTGTGTTTACACAAGTGGAAAGGGTTCCTCAGGCTGTCCCATGAACAAGTCCCACCATGTGAAGTGTTAGCTTTATTAACACAGGAACAAAAAGATAGAGTTTGGGAACCTTTCCTATTTTCTGCTGCACTCAATTCTTAAAGGTGGCCTGCTGCTTCTTCCTGATTCAGCTGCCATCATAAGTAGAGAAACAAAACAGGTTGCTTACCATGGCTGCTTTTTCTGGCTTTGAGAGGAGGTAAGTTTGAGATGGACACCTGCATTTATAAAGTGTCTGTGTGTAAGGGCTGACGTGGGTAGCTGTTTAAACCCCACTGTAGGCAGTGGAGGTCTGGTCAGAACCATCACTGGGGCCTCCAACCCCAGTATCTCACCAGCCTAGACCAGAAGTTTGATTCAGTTGTCAAGACATTCTCTGGCACCTGCCAGGCCCTAAGGCATCCAAAACACCCGTAAGAGGTGCCAGACATGACACTGCATGAAGGTTATGATCAGGTTGTTTGTTGCAGTTACTTGGACAAAGAGACCATTCAGAGACGGAGACTCATTGACTTGTCCTGATTTGTCACAGACTTTCAAAGGTGAAAAGCTTTTTCCCATTTCCTGTTCATAGTCTGTGTCCTCCTTTTCAGTTTAAATCAAAATCTTTGTTAGCAAACTTTGCTTGCCTCATAATGAAAAGGGATACCTTCGGGATTTTGCCAAAGAAGAAAACTCTACAAGAAACAGTTCTTGTTCTGATTCAGTTTAGAGTTACAGACTTGACTAATCTGTAGTTATTAACACCAATATTTTGCTGAGGAGTACTGTTAGTTTACAAGAAGCTTTTATAAGTTTCTTTGAATTTAATTTTCTTTTTTCCCTGAACTTTAGGCATTAATCAAGATTAGATTTTAAATAAAGATATTTTGTTATCTGGAAGTGATTCAAGCAGTCATCTGTAGTATTTCTCATGCTTCGGCAAATGCTTCAGAAGCCAGGTAGCTTCTCAGGGGAATAACGTCGGTTTCCAGAGTGAAGGGGAACATAAAAGTTCATGCAAAGAGATTTCTTTAATACCAAGATCAGCTTAATTTAGAACTGCTTGGCTGGTCTGACTCTGACACTAATAGCCTCAAACTTGCCACTTTATTTTATTTCAAAGCCCTCTTGGCAGTACAAGGGTACATTTAGTGGGAACAGGCTTTGTCCATTAAAACTGAAACTTCTTGTGCTATATTTAAAGCTCATTTGGAACACTTAATTTCCAGTCTCTCAGAAGTTTGTATTATTGAAATAAACCATTAATGCAATGTCCTCCTTAAAGTGTCACACCAAAGAATTGTTTCAAAGCAGTTTTTGCCACTTATCATTCACAGCATTCCAGTGTACATTAAAACTTAATGGAGTTAACATGCAGTCGTAAAAACTAAAGCAGATTTTTGAAGCATGATTGCCATATTCCCAGCATTGTATCTATAACACTTTAATTGACCTCTTATTTCTCTCAGTTTTTATGCATAGGTATGTAAAATACTCTCAAAATCAGTCTGTCTGGTCTTAAGAGGAGTGTGCTGTCATGGCTGTTAGCAGAGAGGCTATTGCTGTACCTGGACCAGGGTTTTGAAAGTGATATATGGGTAAATGAGCATGCAGAGAAACAGGCCCATTCAAGACACCTCATTATAAATAACCTAAAAATATTCTGTGTTCATGCACATGCTTGATACATGGCTGCGAGTTCTTGTTTTTAGTAAGCCTAAGTGATTTGTTACCCCACAGAATCGGTGGCCTCCAGTAGCTGGTGCAGAGATTTCTGATTTTCTGAGTTGTGGAACAAAATCACTGCACAGGGAACAGCCAGCAAAGTGCAGTGGATTTTATCTCCATGGGCCCCATTTCAACTGTTCTGAACTGATTCCTTCATATACGATTTTTCTGAGTCATTCTATGCTGCTGGTTTGCACTAAGAAGGGGAAGATGGAGTAAAAGGAAAGCAAACTGAAAAAATCTAGACATAGAAGTATGGGTAGTACTTTTACGAAACTGAGATTTCTCTTTTTCTTTCCAGGATCTACCTCTTCTTTAGGCTGCTTTTTGAATAGTCAGAATTAGTACTGAATGCCCTGGGACTCACTTACCTCAGGACTCAGCCCAGGACTCCAAAGCAGTTACTTTTTATCACAGATCTTGCTCAAAATCTATTGTTCACATATCTTTACTCAGAAACAGAGCAAACAGAAAACGTCATCATCTGTGCTAGTAATTAAATGGTGTATGCAGAGATCCACCTTTCCAGCTGTTTGGGCCACAAAATATAAAATAAAGCTCCAATTTATAGATGCTCCTAAGGCATTGTATTGTATTATCACCTATCCTGCATTTTAATTGTTTTTTTTGGTTTATATGTCGAGCACACACGCAACCTGTAGTCCTTAACAATGCCACAGATGCATTTCACAGAATCACAGAATGGCTGAGGCTGGAAGGGACCTTTGGAATACATCTTGTCCAACATCTACCTGCTCAAGCAGACCACCTAGAGCTGGTTGTCCAGGATCATGGCCATTGCTCTCCCCTCATCCACTGAGACATCATAGAAAGCTATGAAGTTGGTCAGACATGATTTCCTCTATGTAAATGTCTGCTGACTACTCCCAAACACCATCTCAAAATAACTGGAAATGATTTTCAGGATTATTTTCTCCATCACTTTCCCCACAGTCATGGTGAGGCTGAGTGGCTCCAGTTCCCTGAATCCTCTTCCTTGCCCTTCATGAAGATAGGGATGACATTATTTCTTCCATTCTGCAGGAACCTTGCTCAGTCACCACAACCTTTCCAAGATAATTGAAAGTGGCCTTGCAATGACACCAGACAGCTCCCTCAGGACTTGTGGGGTGCATCCTATCAGGTCCTATGGACTCACCTCCATCAAAGAACATCTCTTGGAATGCCATATAAGGACATTTTGTTATCTACATCCCCCTCAGACAATACCACAGGCGTTGTGCATACTACATCTCTGCTAGTCCTTTGGTTTTTACAGACATCCTCTTACAGTGAATTTAACACTGGTTTGTCAGCTCTGTTCCAAGCATCCCATCATTTTAGTTGTGCAGCAATAGCATTCATGGTTACCATTTTCTGGGCATGCTGTATTACTTCTTAACAACGTATCAC